TTTTTTTTTTTTTTTATGGAGATCATCATCTCCATCATCATAATCATAATTATGATCATCAGTATCATCATCATCTTTATTAGAATCATATTATCATTATTATCATTATTATAATTATTATTTATTATTATTAATATTATATTTATTATTATTATCGTCATCATCATCATCATCATTTTCATCATAATCATTGTCATCATTGTCGTCATTATGATCTTCAATTATTCTTCTTATTTTCATTGATTCCTCGTTATCAACATCCTAATCGATTGAAGCGTCATCTTCAAATCTCTCGTCATCGTGTAATTAATTAATTAATTAATTAATTATTTTATTATAACAGTCTACTTCTGGGCAGTTTTAATCATAGTTTTGTGCTGTTGTGGTTTTTTTCTTTTTTTTTTTGTTTAAATCCTCACACTTCATTACTTTTTTATTCTCCTAAGATTTTCATTAGGTTTAAAATATTCGAGATTTTCTGGCATTTCTTCTTTTTATTTACGTTCGAGATTAAAACTTTTATATATGTCGAGAGATAATTAATTTATTTCTTTTTTTTTTCTCCACCTTCTTCTTCGTCATCGTCATCGTCGTCATCATCGTCGTTTTCTTCTTGTTTTTATTCTTCAATCACCACAAATAGTAGAAGTGTTCGATCACTTTCGTATGAATCATCATCGTCACCGTTATCAACTTTGTAATTTTATATTTTTTTGTTGTCTTTTAAAATTACATTAAACGAAGCTATTCGATCGAAACCCCGCCAACCCTGCTCCCCCTCCCCCTCCTCTTTACGGGAATTTTTTTTTTATTCAACCCCGTAAATCTTCACGCCACTTTTATTTTATTTCATTTCTTATCGTCTAAAACCTTGTCCACCATTTTGTGACAATTCATTTTAAGAAAATTTACATACATACCCGAGTAGAATACAATTCAATTAGACCTAGTACGCTTAGAAAAAGAGATGAAAAAACATCACGTTTTTATAGTTGGAAGATGTTAAAACACCATAAACGTATTCTCCCTGCGTCAATTTTATTCCGATGACGTATTACGAACTATTTTTTTCTTTTCTTTTTCTTTCTCTCTCTCTCTCTCTCTTTATTTTCTATGATCATATAAATATTATTCTTACATTGATTAACTTGTAATGTTTAATCACTGAAAATTATTTTTTGCAAAATATTTTCGCGAAACAATGCGGTTTATTTCATTAACATGATTCCACGCGTGGTCTACTACGTTTCCTCGATCATATTTTTGTTCTTTCTTTCTTTCTTTCTTCTTCTTTTAATTATCATTACGATTATTATTATTTCTAAATGTTCAACTCTATATCTCACATATTCGTTCCGCAACGTTTCGATCTCTCAAACGTTCCTCACATTTAAATTAAATTTCATATTTAAAAAGAAAAAAAGAAACAACGACATATTTTCTAATTTACATTTAAAAAAAAACAAGTTATAACTATAAAAAAAAGGCAAATAAAAAAGAAAAAAATAGAAAGAGAAAACAAGATAAAATATAATAATAATAATAATAATAATAATAATAATAATATTATATAAAAACGCATGCCACAGTCGTTAAGTGCAATAGCAGAGAAAGACAGATAACATGTCGAATGAAAAGAAAAATTCCATTGCAAAATGGTAATCATTCTAATTTCAACTGTACCTTCGAGCGCGTTTTTATTATCTTTTAATGAGGGGTAATTTTTTATTTGTCTAAATAATCCATTATAACAATCAATAAAGTCTAAACGATTAAAATCGTACCACGACAACATAAAAACAACAATATCACACCTAAATAATCGACTAAAAATTGTCCTTTGTAATAATTAATTAAATATTAGTGCCCAATGCGATTGTCATCATAATCATCATTAAAATCATCATCAAAATCATCATTATCATAATTAGTATCATCGTAATCATTAACGTCACATATTTCGGGTAATCGTTATCAACATCATCATTATCATCATCAGTAATCTTTATGTTTATCATTATCACTATCATTATCATCATCATCATCATCATCATCATCATCATCATCATCATCATCATCATCATCATCATCATCATCATCATCATCATCATCATTATCATCATTAATCATCGTCATCATTCCTATCGTGACGAGAAAGTGGAAGAGTTAAACGAAGACGACGAGTAGGACGACGAGTAGGACGACGAGTAGGAAGAATCTAACGACGGTGAGGAGGAATAAGAAGAAGAAGAAGACGAGGTCGAATATGGTGGAGTATTTGAAAATGACTCCAACGACGAAGACGACGACGATGACGTTGTTCCGTTTTCATAGGAACAATGTTGATACCATGAGCCCTGGTACCCTAAGGCTAGCCCTTCGCTGGACATTCGTCTTCTTTGACCGTCCACGCTTTGCCGTCGTATCAAACGGTTCAGTCTACTAATCATCAAACGTTTCAAGAACAGGGATACGGATGGATGACCATCGTTTTGTTGATGTTGTTGATTCAAGTAGAAATTACAATTCTGCGGCTGCTGTTGCTGCTGCTGCTGCTGCTGACGTTGTTGTTGCAGTAGTTGTAGTTGTTGTTGTTGTTGCTGTTGGTAGTGCGTTCCTTGGCGTGTGCGAGAGTAGTAGCAAGAGACTATATTAGCCCACTTCTGTGCGTCGTCTAGGTAGCAACGATGTCGCAAACTGCTGACATTCGCGACCTTACTTATGATCGCTTCTTCTTTTAATGCACCACTCGGTGGTTACCTCCTGTCACGGTAAAGGAGATAAGTCTTCATCGCTTGAGGCAGATTTAATTCGTTTATCTTTTCCTCGAGTCTATGCTTGTTAATCCGTTGTCTGATAACTCTTCGACAAAGATCCATCAAAGGTAAAGGCTCCGCTAGATAAATACAATTAACCATGTCAATTAATAAATCTCATTATCTTTTACACATTATATAAGATTTTAATTTACTTTAGTTTAATAATTGATATTATAATAATACTTACGATCAAGACCACCGATATATTTCATCGTAATCTCGCAGTGTCCCCATACAGCTGACACTATTGGATGCAATTTCCTTCCTTTAAGACCTCTGAACGCGGTTCCAAGATACTGTCCATCTACTACGAATGCTAACGTGCCCTCGTCCATATCAAGTACGACTGTAAAATAATAAAATAACTCATATAAATATCTATCCTATAGTAAATAAAATCAAAAGATCAAAATCGATACGATATAATTATCTGGACACACTGTTCGTTAGAAAAAAAAAAAACAAATTTCATCTAGTGTAAACATCACACTACACAAGATTCTGTTTAAACCTAATCCACATTTTTTTAATGCGTCGCGACCTAAAATAACGGAGTTCACCATTGTAGTGTCCGGTACTACCAACAGACGAGTGTGAACCCTTTCGCCGTTATCTAATTTTAAACTAACTCGTATTGAGCCGTGTACCTGCAGACGACTATGATTAATACCATAATATTCACTTCCGAGTTCTGATGCAGGGTCGATCGGTCCCCTCACTAACCCTTTCTTTATGAAACTTACGGGGCTACCGGAGTCCAATAAGGTGTCTAAAACTAAGATGTAGTGTATATTGCCTGTATCGACATCATAAGTTATCTTTCTGATGTAGTCGTCATCGGTGGTCAGGTTCCCGGTGATGCCGTGGATTTCGCCACCCTTCTCCGGGCATTCTGGTCTAAGATGTCCATGTTTACCGCACTTGTAGCAGCTGCYYCTTTCCMTCTTCGGACGGAGGCAGTTCCCCGCAAAATGTCCTGTCTCTCCACAGTTGAAGCATCTGGCATAACTTTCCTCCGACGGCTTCTTATGGTCGATCGGTTTTCTTTTTCCTTCTCCCGTCGGCCGCCTTCCTCCGTATTTTGTAGGACTTCGAGGGCCCGTCGCTCGCRTCCTTAACCCGGCGTATAGCGTAATACTTTCGAAAGCCGTCAGCAACGACTCCTGGTCTCGGAAATTAATCATCCGGGCCTGGTTTCTTAATGCAATGTCGRGAATGCCGTCTATYGCATACTCCAAAATTTCTTGTTCTGGGAGGGGGATTCGGTAACCCAGAATCATTTTGTCATGTAAGTAATCCCTAAACGACTCGTTGCCGTTCCACCTACGTTTCTCAAACTGTTTTTTCAACGTGATAACACTTTGTCGCGAGCTAAACATCTTCTCYATTGCTGCTAATAATTCCTCCATTCCATAAGTCACGAATTCGGGTTTTGAGTGAAATCATCTCAATGCTTTTCCCCTCAACTTTAGGCTAATTATCATAACGATTTCGGTATCCCGAAGCTGGTGCATTCGTTGTATATAGCGTACTCGTCTCTCCCAGACGGTAAAAGTACCAACGCTTCCATCAAAACGTCGATCATATCAGAGATTATACTTAAGTTGACCTCGCGGTGTCGATCATTCACTCTTGGTCGTTGTTCCGGTGTTCTCCTGAGTTGCTCGACCTCACGCATAAGGTCTTCTACCTGCCGACGGAGACCTTCTACTTCGCCGCCTTCGGTAGCCGGTGTTTCTAAGGCGGTCGCTCCGTCGTCGTAAGTTGTATCTAAGATGGCTTCATCCCTCCAATGAGGTTCAGCTAAATCTAATCTTGCCATAAGCTCGGCTTTCGTGCCGTACATCGCCAAGCCTCGAGCGCGTAACTTTTCTCTTAGCTCGGTTACTGTAAGTTTGCAGATTGTTGCCATGTTTTGTAATTTTCGTAGACACTTTCAATGCCAACGTTTTCAAAATTTTTTAGATTTCAAATGCTAAGTCACTCAAACACGTAAGTTCACCAATAACTTCACTAATAACGTAATAGATTCAATCCCACTTTTCATAACACACGCGCGAATCGCGAATTTCTAATTTAGCGAGTTTGAATCCCACTTCTGATATTTGTAAACCTCACACCACATAAGATTTCATAAAACAGACACATAATGAACTCCCTCGTATCGTCCGACTGCCCCTTTATACCCTCCATCAAACAACGGAGCATCGGCTCCCCTCCACGGGGACGCATACTGCCTATGTTCTTCACACTTAATCTTAAGAGAATTGATATACCACACACATCCGCACACACTCACACTAGTGCAGGCGCCAACGTGCACGAAGAACCCGCATAAGCCGTTTACACTAGTAATTAATTAAAACGAAAAAATAGGAAAACACTGCGAAACGTATGATTTACCGAAAAAAAAGAAAAAAAGGAAAATCCAAAGTATAAATGAAATGAAAGATAAAGGAGGGATACTTACCCAAAAATTTATCGGGCACAATGAAAGTTTCGTCTGGTTTAAGTAGAGCCGGATAAGTAATACCGACATTGTTCTTGGAGTCATGATAGAGTTTATTTCTACCGAGATCCCATCCCCAACTGAGATCATTGTTACCAACGAGGCTCTGATAGCCAACGCTATGAAGGGGTGCGTCTGCGGTTGCAACACCGACCACAGCGTGTGTACCACGTTGCCTCGTGCTCCAATAAAGCTCCCACACGTGCATACCCTTCGTATAACCAATCTTCCCTCGTATGCAATCGGTGCTCTGTGCTACGGGGTGCCGGTGGAACGTCAGCTTGTCGTCGTCCTGAAAACAATCGTCCACAGGGATCGTTTGTTTAGCGAGGGATCTTTCAATATATTCGATGATTCATAGGACTCTATATTCTAGAGACCTAAACTCTTACCAATTTTATCTGCCGGATGTATTAGAGTGTGTAAAAGAGATTTGTTATACAACGATAGGGAGAAGATGGGTTTATCATAATTAGTAAAAGAGAGAAATAAATCTTTTTAATACTTTCTCTTTCTTTCGGTTAATACAATAAAAGAAAAAGAAAAAGAAAAAAAAAAGACAATAATAATCTAAATGATATACGACAACGGTGGGCTAACTATATGATTCCTAAAGGTAATTATATTTCCTTGCTTGATATTCTCTATTACGCCGAAATATTTTTATGTTAATAATTTATTCTAGTATATCACCCACCCTTGATATATTCAAATATTAGATTGGCCAAGGATTTAACATAGTACAAATCATGCGATAAAATGAAATGTAAATATTGTCAAGAAATATTTATCTCGATATTATTTTTATACAAATCTCATTATTGAATAAATTGTCTTGTCAGATTAGTTACGAACATCTTGGTCAATCCAATGTTTTGTATAAATTAAAGATAAAGGGTATAATATTGTAGTTCAGTTTTGGGAAAACTAACAAAAAAACTGGATTAGATAAATATGTACCTTAACAAAAATGTTGAGACTGCGATCGTCGGCATTCCAGCTATGATTAACTTGAATTTCCCGCGATGCGGGCGGCATATCGAGGAGAACATCGAGACGAGCTGGCCTCGACAAGTCTTGTGCCAACTCTCGAGGTACAACTGGTTTGTACGCCACTGCGCCGCCACCACCAACACCAATCCCGTTGCCCGTTCCAGCTCCGCTCTCGCGCGTCACGCTCTTCACGCCGCCTAAATATCCCGAGGGAATAGAGAAAGAGAAAAACATTAAAATACAAACAATACAACAAGAAATGGATATCAAAAAGAATTATCTATTACGAATCCCATCACTGTAAATCAATGAAACCGAAGTGGATCGAAAAAAATTGCACGAATGGTTGTTGTGCAGTCGCGTCGTATGTTAGTCGGAATTTTATAAAAAAAAAATGAAGTTCAATATGGACAATTTGTTGGATTAAATTATACGACGATCTCTCGTAGTCATTTAAAATGATTAAACTTTCATTCTAATTAGGACCGAGTTATTGTAGAAACAAGCCACCTTTTTTCTATATATATATCTTTTATGTAAATTTTAATCTTCAAACCCTAAATTAACTCAATTTCAGATAATCTTAAGGATTATAATAACTTTATTCTTAACCCAGACCTAAAACAATTCTAACAAAATTCATTCATTCCTAATGAAATCCTTGAAAATCTTATCATCTAGAAATGTTCGTCGTTCAAACATGGTTCTTATTAAGAATTCAGACAGTGTCGAGTGTGGATACCTGCCGGCAACGCATCCTGATCATGATACCAACGAAAAAATATACAGAAAGAAAGAAAGAAAGAAAAAGAGAGAGAGAGATAAAAAGAAAAGAAGAAAAAGAAAAAAAAACGGTCAAATGAGGTAGAGAAAGAGAGTGAATAAGAAAAATAATGGAGAGGGAGGGGTTCTAGCGAGACGGTATAGGGCTTGGGTAAAAAAGTTTTGGAAGGTTTCTTTGGTAAGGGTCCCCGTAGGTTCTCCAGAGCACACCGATCCATATCCTTGGTTTGTAGTTTATTTGCTCGGGCAGCTGTTCCCGTGTTCAGCGGGCTCGATGAGGGTTCTGGAAAGGACCGTGAGGATTTGAAAGGATCTCCCTGATGGTAGAGAACGAACGGGCACTAATAGAAAGAGGTCCTTGGCCCTTTCACGGCCATACACCACCATCGAAACAGAAAGAGAAAGAAAAAGGGAGAGAGAGAGAGTGAGAGAGAATGAGGGACCCTGGGGGCTCTCTCGTCTTTCTCTCTCTCTCTCTCTCTGAACACGTCTCTGGGTCTCCTTTCTTTCTTTCCTTCCTTCCTTCTTTTTTTTAGGGCGTCGGTACCTTTTCAAAGCTTCACACAGGCAGACCACGTACAATACGATACTCGATCGTAAATTTCACGGGCCTGAAGTCGAGTCGACGAGCACAGATTAACGCGATGAAGTATCGTAAATTTGAGGATAGAAAAAAAGAATTCAGAATTAGGATACTTTTTTTTTCCTTGTTTTTCGGTATCGATCGTTAATGTTATTACATTTAAATATTGTAACTTGAAAAGATTTACAAGTCTAGATTTTTTTTTACTAATTGTAAGTTCTCGAAACTTTTGGATTTTCTCAAATATTCTCAACGTAATATTTTTATCACGTTCATCAATTCATGATGACACATACACGACGACAGGCATATCTATCTTTCTTACAAAACCGGATAGAATGGATACGAGTAAGAGAAATAAACGTAGAAAACGCATTAATATCAAGGTTCTTCTATTTTCTGATGTTTTCCAATCAATCTTATCGATTCTCGGTTACATTTATCTTTAAAAGATCAAATCTGTTAAACGTTAAAATAATAGACTTTTTATCGAGATAAGAAAAAAAAAAAAAAGAAAGGATTATAACGATCGTTAAAAAAGAAAATTCCAATTGGATAGAATCGGGATGAACTTCTTCGAGAGTCCAACCCTTTCTTCTGGAAAAGGGTCTCGCGCGTTATTGGTCTCTCTCGGACGAGAAACCTGTTCAAGGATCTACCTGAACAGGTAGTTAAACTCTGAAATAGTAGACCTTGACCTCGGGAGTTCTTCAACTCTCCAACAGCGACCGAGAAGAAGAACTTAGAAGAGAATTGATATCTTCAATCTAATATCTTAAAAATAATTTCTAAACAACGTGATAAATCTAAATTGTGATCAAATAAATGAACGAGCGTTCGAAAGATCGATACAATACGATGTTATTTAAGTAAAGGAAAATTAATAAACAAATTCATTCGAACGTTAAGTATACATAATATAATAATCCAAATATCATAAATGAGTAACATCACAAATATTTGAGGTGTTTGTGAATAAGTGAGAGTTTGGGGGGGGGGGCTGGCCATGGGGTTTAACATAAACTAGATATCACATTGGAAGTAGATCGTTTAAAGTATGGTCTGTGTGCTTAAAGAGACCCGAGGGCTAACCTGAAATCTTTTGGCCCATGTTCATGCCCCGATGATGGGAGCGATGGTGTGGGTGATGCCGGTGATGATGCGGGTGGTGTCGGTGTTCGGTGCACTGCTTGCCCGCCGGCAGCCTGTGCCTGTGGTGCCTGGTGCCGCCGGTGGTGGTGGTGGTGGTCGTCGTGGTGGTGGTTGTTGTCGTGCTGGTGAGATGATGGTGATGGTGATGGTGGTGATGGTAGTGGTGGTGATGGCCGGTGGTCGGTGGTGCAGCAGGCACCGTGCCACCGTCGATTCCTGCTCCTCCTCCTCCTCCTCCCCCACCTC